CCCCCCCCCCAGCCTCTGAAAGAGCAGCTACAAAAACAAAGAGCTGTGCAGGGTCAAGATATCGGTGATGACCCCCCCAAAAAACCTCCCAAGGAACTCCTTTCATGGCTTGATGCAGACACTGAAAGTCCAGGGTGGCCGAAGGGAGCCCCCAGGGCAGGGCAGGGCATTCTGAGGAGGTTGGACCCCCCCTTCTCCCGGGGAGAGCTGAGCCGGTCATTCCTGGCCCCTCCTCCAGCTGATGAAAGAAAAAAATGGAGTCCTTCTCCATAACAGTCAAACAGCTGCTGATGGGGTTTTTTGGTTGGTTTCAGGAGACCTGATCTGTCACTGGATACCAGCCGCCAGTGTAAGGAATACGGTCCCTGTTGCATCATATTGCTTAAGGCCAGATTGAAATGGGTGACAGGTAGAGGTGTCATGCAGGCATACCGGGAGTTGCCGTGCTGTGACATGTTTGGTCGTGCTCCCAAAAGACCATTTTGGAACCAGCAGCCTGTAATCTTTTGCCCAGAGGAAGTATTTCATTGAAGGGTGTACTATTTCGTTTTCCCCCTGATTTTTTTTTTTTGAAGTTTCCCTAGAACATAATAGAAGTTGCGCTGGATCAGGCCAATGGCCCAGCCAGTCATACAGTGGCCAAAACCCAGGTGCCCTCAGGAGGTCCACCAGCGGGGCCAGGACTCCAGAAGCCCTCCCACTCTTGCCCCCCCAGAGCACCAAGAAGACAGGGCATCACTTGCCCCAGACAGAGGGTTCCATCTATACCTTACGGCTAACAGCCGCTGATGGACCCCCACCCACTCCACGTGTTTCTCCAGTTCCCTCTTGAAGCCCTCTGTGCTTGTAGCCGCCGCCACCTCCTGTGGCAGTGCATTTTTCATTCGTCTTTGAATGAAGAATGATGCAACGGGTATGGTATTGGTCAGGCCACACCTGTGTGCAGTTCTGGAGGCCTCCCTTCAGAAAGGATGTGGAGAGAACAGAGCGGGTGCGGGGGAGAGTGACGACGAGGATCGGGGGGGGGGGCTGGAGGCCAAGAAGCCCTATGTGGAAAGGCTGAGGGACTTGGGTACATTTAGTCTGGAGAAGAGGAGGTCGAAGGGGGAGTTGTTCCTTTTGGCAGCAGAGGCTAGGCCTTGCAATCTTGGGTTTAAATGAAGGGCGGGAAGGTACCAGCTGGATCTTAGGAAAAGCCATTTTACGGTTGAGAGTTGTGCAGCAGTGGAATCAGCTGCCTGGGGAAGTGGTGAGCTTCCCCCTCTCTGGCAGTCTTCAAGCAGCGGCTGGACAAACCCTTCTTGTCAGGGATGCTCTAGGGCTGATCCTGCATTTAGCAGGGGGTGGGACTAGGTGGCCTCTTGTGGCCCCTTCCCGCTCTGTGATTTTACGATTCTAAGAAGGGCTTCCTTTTCTCGGTTCCAAGCCTACCTACTTACTCCCTCTACTCACTCTAGTTATCCTGCTGGAAGGAACCTTGATGCTATCCCAGCCATGTTTAATTAGCCAGGAAGACCCAGGATCCGCTCACGACCCCCGGGGGACCCCGTCCGTGTCTGCCAGGGAGGGCAAGAGAACATTTCAAGCCCCGCAGGGGTATCCGATCTCCCTCAAGCCTGGCATTTCGGTGTGGATGGGAGGGAGACCAGCAAAACACCCCGGTGCCTCCTGTGTCTCCCAGGACTTCAGCTCTAGGGGTTAACGGGGCCGCCTGAAACCAGCCTGGATAGACAAGATTCTGCTGGCTCGGTGGTGGCCAGTGACGTTTTCCTCACGGCCCCCCTTGCCCCCCTCCCATTCTGAACCTGCAAGAGGTTTGGTGTCATGGTTAAGTGCGCGGACTGTAGTCTGGGAGAACCGGGTTTGATTCCCCACTCCCCCACACACACATGCAGCTGCTGGTGTGGCCTTGGGTCAGTCACAAGTTCTCTCAGAGCTGTTCTCTCAGGAGCAGTCCTCAAAAGAGCTCTCTCAGCCCCACCTGCCTCACGGGGTGTCTGTTGTGGGGAGGGGAAGGGAAAGGAGTTTGTGAGCCGCTCTGAGACTCCTTCGGGTAGTGAAGGGCCATGGGGTATAAATCCAATCTTCTCCTCCTCCTCTTCTTCTTCTGCTGGCTGGAGTCCTCTGCCAGGGTCCTCCTGGCCGCTGCCCTCCCAGCTCCCTTGTACATGCCATGTGCTTGTAAAGAGTACACCAACTGCTTCCCAAAGGAAGAAGGCCGCCGGTTTGATGCCCAGCCCAGCTGGAGTCCGTGGTGGAGTTCCCCTTTGCTTTCCCTGTATTTTCTATGCACATGGGGGGGGGGGGGGCCCCAACTTCCTGTGACATGCAGTAGCAAAAGGCCAGCCGGTTCCTCCCGCCCCGCCCACCCCATAAAATGCAGCCATTTAGGAAACATGAGAATGCTTTCTTTTTGGGGCGGGGGGGGGGACTCTTTAAGTTTCTCAGGTGCTTTTTGTGCCCGGTGTCAGTATCATGAATGTGGGACGGAACGGGGAAAAGAGGGCTCTAATGCCGGCTTTGCCCCTGCTGATGTGGTGAAAGCTGATTTAAACACGTCCTTCCTTCCTTCCGTGAAAACCTCCACCTGGCCGAGCCTTTGTATTCCTCCTCAGGGGCCGGGTGAAGTCAGAGAAGTGACGAAGCAAAAAAGGGCTCCGCGGAGCTCAGCTCGGCTGCCAGGGAAAGGCAAGTCCGGGTTTGGCTGACGGCCTTGGCCACTTGAATCTGTTTTGCTCTGCAGCGTCTTTAAGGGACCATCCTTAAACAGTCTCAGTACGGGCAGTTACAAAAGCACCCCTTTGCGCTCCTGAATGCAGTGGGAGGAAAATTGACAGGTCAGTCTAGACCAGGGGGTGGCCAAACGTGCTTAATGTAAGAGCCGCATAGAATCAACGTCAGATGTCTGAGAGCCACAAGACCCGAACAAATGTCACACACACACGTTTACTGGGAAATAGGCACATTTGCTTTTTATTAACATTAAGATGAGACTGCCAAAAATTAAAACAAAGGGGGTATAAACAGATATGGATAATGATGTTTATTTGTCCAGTTATATTTATTTGTTTGCTAATAATATTTATTTGTCTAAGAGAGAGAGAAAATGCTTTGAGAATGCATTTAAAGTTGCTTTCTTTCTTGGCTTCCCCCCCATCTCAAGCCTACCCAGGGAGGGGAGAACTGGCTGGGGAAGGGAAGACCGATGGGGGAGGGGGGCACGCCTCCCCTTCGCTTCCCCAGCCGCCCTGCCGGGAGCCGCCCAATAGGTATGAAAGAGCCGCATGGGGCTCCCGAGCCGCAGTTTGGCCACCCCTGGTCAGACTCTAGGACCAGGGAGCGGTGTGACCCTTTGTTTAAATCCCCATATGGCCAATGGCTAATACAATAAACTTGATGAAGTTTAAAGCCCCACCTTTCTGGGATGCTCAAGGCAGTCTCCATTCTTGGGGGGGAAATGAAAACAATGGACCAAAAATATGCAAACATTCAGTGTAAAAAGGAAAAGTTCCGGGGGGGGG